GATCTTTTCACAAAAAGTTCTGCTCACATCCTCAGAATGACCTCTCGACTCTGGATTGTTAGAACTAACCTGTGGAAATCGTGTCGCTAGAAGAAGAACGATAGTGGCACCAAAGGAGACGCCTTGAATACCGAGGCGATCTGTGGTGAATGGTTGCCGCTTTATCCATTTGATAGGCCTCTTAAGCACGGAATACGATCATTAATCGTTCTTACGACTTACAAATATGGTAGTATGAAAATTTGTCATTAAAAATGGCGTAGGAAAGTAATGATAGTATAGCTATCCCAGGTTACTGATTTTTTCATAAGCTGGCTAAATTTCCAATTTTGCGCTCACATAAGCGCCAACAGTTTGTTTGAAAGCTAACAACTTTCGTGACGTTTCAACATATAATGGCTGAATTTACCTCAAAATATTCCAGGTCCACTTCTGAAAGTGTTTCGACGAGATTTTTGTATTGGAAGAACGCTACACACAGCACAACAAAACCTTCCGACGCCAGCATTGATCCCTGTAATCGCTACCTTCTGCTCCTACATAGTGGAAAAGGCTCGAGAGAATTGACTGCTGAAAGGTTGCTTACCTTGTGCTCATGGAGACCTCCACCTGTTCCAGAGATATCGATAACCGCCGGGAAAGGTCCATCTCCTGGAACAAATAGAAAATGTTCGGAATAATAAGAATAGAATATGATTCCGGAATTTTAGAAACATTTCACAAAACAGAAAATTCAATTTCTTCCACTTTTGGAGATATCCTGCATTTTCGATGCATCATAAATGCCTACCGCAATATCAGGAATGAAGCAGCACGGGTACAGAGGAAGTGCAGAACACCTGCCCCTCCATCCAACCGTAGGAGAAGGTAGGATGGTGGGCAGAAACTATTTAGTCCCTCGCTTCAGGCTGCGTCTCCATCGTATCTTTTTCATATTATGGCAAATAGTTACGGTAACCTTCCGAAGTAGAAATTCCTTCTTGTCCCCAATGGTCTATGGGTCAGAGAGCTACAGGAATCTCACCAAGAGGCAGAAAGCGAAAAACAGATGAGATGGCGAGTTAGAACAAGCCGCACATGGTTTTTTGCACATTGTAGGCTCAACTTTGGATATCTCTCAAGATGACCTAAGCGCATTGTCAAATTAGTACCGTAATGTACGAACGTGCAGGACACAGTCGACTAATATTTGTCAGTTTATGAAATTCCCATAAAAATCTCTCATTTGAACGCAGGAGATCAAAGCGTATTTATTTCATATACCCACCAGGAGGCTTGAATAGAGTTCCGCAGAATCCGTCTTCCTCAATCTCTATTCGTTCCAAATTTGGATGCATCCAATGCTTTCTTGATCGGTACCATCGCCAGTTCACGATCACCGGAGTCCAACAGACTGAAAGATCATAAAGTGGCATTTTTACCATGAAATTGCTTTTATTGATCACAAAAGCCGTTATTTCAACTCACATCAAATTGTAGATAAATGGTATCGGAGGAGTGCATCTCAAATAGCCACCAAATGGAAAGTCCTCGCATGGTTCAATGCTCATAAACAGACCCATCGGATCAGCTTCTGAATAATGACATGAACTTTTGGACATCTGATTTCCAAAAAAAGTTGTCTGAGACTCGAATTCTGCTGTATATCATGGAAGTATTGATTTTATCTATGATGTTCCAAATTGATTGTTTTGAGTTACTCAAATCAGGAAGGTGTCCTGCAAGCGGGAGCTGCTGCTCTTAGGGACAATTGCTGTTGCAACCGCACCCCCGCTTATTCTGCCCATCGCTTCGAGCTGCTTTTCTTTTTTGGGGCCTGACATTGAGTCCCATAAGGCAAACCTATCCTGAATTGCCCTGAGTATCCCCTCACTGTCATAATGTTGCCCTGTGTGCTTCAAATCCTTTGAATGGAAATGGCAAGAATTAGTGACTAACCGCTGTAGGATCCTCTAAGAGGTTTCGCCGTCGGAACGTCTATCTCACCGGCCGAATCTGCTTTGAAGACCGCATATGACATGTGAGTCCCGAATTTGTGTTTAAGCCTAAAGTAGAGAGATGTCATATCGCCCAATTTCCTAGCATAGGTCAGATATACGTAGCTACAATATAGCCGCCTATTATGTAGCATACTGATGGTTTGCCAATTTCTAGCTGAACTTTCCCAAAAGATTTTTCACTCATTTATTTTATATGCTGTTTTACCACACAAGGTTCAGGGTGCGTGGCAAGGTTTTCACAAAAAAAAAAAAAAAAAAAAAAATATATCGATCACATTATGACAAACCTTCACCCAGGCCTTGGACTCGCCCCGGGCACAGGGTCAACCCTATGTTGCTACAAGTAGCAACGGGGGGGGTCGTATTTTGATGAGTTTGTAGAGGGGGGTCGTACTTGCTTCGGTTGTAAGAAGTTGCATGTGATGAGTGGGGAGCGGCGCGGGAGAAAATTGCAAATGGAGTAGTTGAAATATGGTCAAATACATGCGGATAATTGTAAGGGTAATGTAAGGAATTTTTGCGGTTTTATTGTAAGTATATACCCCCCGCTCGGCGGTAATTTTTTGGGGTAAAAATTGCTTTGGAAGAGGGAGTCGTCGGAAACATCTCATGAGGGAGGGGCTCGGAAAAACTTTTTGAAAAGTAGCAACGATAGGGACCAAACCCTGCCCGAGCAAAGGGCGCGCTTTGAGGTGACTGCGGTGTCAAAACAACAGTCCATATAACTTAGATGCGCATTAAAAATTGATCTGTTTAGAGCTTCAGCCTTGCGGTCACACTGCCGATGGAAGGCAACTTCCTGTTTGGAGGAAGTGAGTGCCGCTAAGCTATGGAGATATTACCACGACAAAACCTGGTTTGGGAGAAAAGTGGTGCCCGATAGTGTAGCGCACTTGCTCCGGTAAAGGGGGAGACGCGTTTTCAAATCCCGCCTGACAATCGAGTGAAGGTTTTTCATACCAGCGTTCTGTGTAAATTATAGGCTTTGTCCGTCTCGGTTCCATTTGTGCCTTTTTTAGAGCTAAGGATGCTTACAAGGGAAGTCACGGAATTTCCCAGAGCTGCATGTTTTTGTATTAGTAAAAAAATGAAAAAGTTTTTTCCCGGTATAGCTTCAAGCTCCAAGCTGTCACGAACATTGGAGGAAAGAATCTTACAGAGTCATTAAAAGCCTACTTTACGCTGACCTCAACACTAGTTTGTAGATGCCGTTTGGTGCGAGATGAGCTGCTCTGATGTGGAGGCGCTCGTTCTGCATTGAGTCGTGAACGTCCACGTAGAGGGACATCTTGAGTGCGAAAATAGAAATCACTTCTGAAATATCGGGTTCATATAAATTCAACACTTCTACATAGTTGCCACAATAGCAGTTGGTGATGTCACATCCATAAAAACGAACAGATGACAGCCAAAATGATTTCTTTACGGCATAGTACCCATCAAATACCGTATCAACAAAAATGAGGATGGACCACAGGAATTTCTGATTGTAAAATTCTCCTTCAAGCCACAGAATGTGTTGCATACGTAATCGAAAAGCATTGCTCATTTCGTTCCCTATAATTCCAACGCCTACGCTTGGCACAGTTCCGAACTACGCCAACGATCGAAGATCAGGGACGCTGCCGTTTTCGCCAAGGAATCGAAGATAAGGTGGGCCGGACACGTCATGCGATTTTGCGATGACCGTTGGACCAGAGCGGTTACCGACTGGATCCCTCGGGACGTCAAACGAACACCTGGACGACCGCCGGCCCGATGGTCAGACTTCTTCACGAAAGCTCTGAACGAAAGGAATGAAGGACTCCCTCGAGCGAGGAGGGTCCACTGGACAACTCTTGCACGCGACAGGGACGAATGGAGACGTTGCTGGCGCCCGCTCGAGCAATTCGATGATCAACGGGACGACAGGTGATACGGTTTGGGCAGCTTATAGTATGATGGCTCCCAATTCCCAAAATTGCGGGAACTGCGGACCTGATGTAGTGCGAGCTTCACTGGAGTGAGCCTTGCTTCATTTTTTCTGATCCGCGCAGTGTCCAATCGTGTGAAGGACCATTGGAGGTCGATTCAAGGGCGAGAGGTAACGCGGAATGTGAATACAAGGTGACGTCATGATATTATTGCCCACGGTTCTTCTTTCTGCTAACTTCTCTCAAAATGGATGTATTTTGGCACAGTTTTCAAAATGCTGCATTACTTCACATATGAAAGGAAGACATTCAGGATATGCTCCCCTGTCGTTGTGAGTATGGCTCCCAGTTTCTTCGAACGCAACCCTACTGTGGCCCGCATAGCATCCTGGGGTGTCCTCTTCGAAACTTTGGTGAGAAAAGGCTTCGACTCATCTGTGTGGATGCAATATTTAGCGCAGGCTCTGCCCATATAGCCCACATAGGACGGTCCAGCTGTGAAATCAACGGATAGGAGAGAAGTTCGAGGATGTGAAGTTGCAAAGGGTACCCAAGCAGCGCTCTCAAACAATTTTTGCCTCTTATGCAGAAGCTGAATCCTATCGAAAAGGTCGTCACATCTCCTCCTCCTTGACTCGACCTAGTATCAGATTGTATTCCTTTATAAACAGGCACTGATTGGTGAGCGACCGATAGTTGATACCCCTGTCCAGACCATGAAAAGGTTTGACTGCTGCTTGTGGCGAATATCCGAGTCAAACTCAGTTCTAACTGATCAGCGCTCTGTGTGGCAGCGGACTTTTCCGCTCGAAGGGTGGAACCGACGGCCTCTGAAGACGACGATTCAGTCGAAACGTTAGGCCATTAATAAAGGTTCCACCGAACAACCTCGTAAGGCACAAGAAAATTTGTTAATTTTTCAACAGCGATATTTCCAAAAAATATTATACTATGGAGAGATAACAACACTAATGCTGTAGCTAAGACACTTCACAAGGCTCACGATCAGCTGAAATGTGAAAGCACATGAAATGCGTGGTCGTCTGACGGTATCAGTTTCAAAGATAAGGACCGCCATTGTCCTTCCAATTCCTGTGAAAACTTCGTCACGTAATCGCTTTCAACTCGCCACGAGTTTGGGGACGTATGATTATAGCAATCGTAGGACATGAATAATGTACTCAGGGACGGAGAGAACTAAGAGTGCAAAATACCATGGCGCAACGATGGGGTCCAAGGAAGCGTTATTGAATGCCCGCCAAGGCCGAGCTTTGCGTTACACCCCTCCCTGGTTGATCCTTTGCCAGACTTGTCCTGGAAAGAATGAAAAGAGCTGATAGGCCATGATCATGGTATCGCAGTGGAATGCAGAAGAAAGGCATTTGAGCTTTTAACACTCTGCAATGGACGAGCGCACTTCAAAGCCTAGAAAAGCAGAGATTCATTTCAGAGCCCTAGTGAGGCTGCGCTGTGCTCAACTCAACATCCTTGAAAAACCATTCTTTTTGGGTTTATTTCTGCATATGGAATTTTACGTGAGAGTCACATCCTCTCAAAGTGTCTGACACGAGTCAATGATAAGAATATAATTTTGAGCAAATCTGGAGTGATAATATGTGAGAAAAATTCGAAGCTTTTGAAAAAATAAATGAGAATTCGGGGCTTTTTTCTTAAGAACCACGCGAAGTGGACTGTGGAGCGACCGCGTGATTCACACCATTTATACCATCACTGATAGCTTATCACACTGAACGATTTGACTCAATTCCGGTGAAATAACCACGAGTGATCAGAAATCGACCCCGATAAATCATCGTTACGAATTTGTCACCTGATAGAAGAATCAAGTGACGACTATGGAGTATGCTCGAGCTGATAAGATGGATTTCGAGCTGTCCACACTCCCACGATTTTTTCCACTCCGTACCAAACACAATTTTGCTGCCGATCTCCCAGAAATAATTAAAATCATTATTTCATTACCAGCCGATGAAAAGGTGTTTAGAATTCAAACTAAATCAATTACAGATTTGATCAAGCTCTTGGAGGGCTGGCTTCTCATTCTCATCTCGGGACCCTTACGCCACTACGATTATGGATGCAGGTACACTGCGTGGCGCATTCCCAAATAAGGTTTGATCATCCCGACCTTTTTACCCTTTATCCTCCCACTTCAATCCACTATCCTACTTACTATAAACCGCCTCGTCTGTCGTCTGTCGTCTGTCGTTCTGTCGTATGCCTGGAGGACCGGGTCAAGTGTGGGACGGGTGGGCAAGGTCTCACGAAGTACAAAACACACATCAGCTAAGCGGAGCCCCGCCCACAGTGGGCGTGGCGTGCGTCGAAATGAAGTGTACTGACGACCGAGATTTTCAATTCTCTTAGAAAACGACCTCGAAACTGGGCCAAAAAGTGGGTAAAGGTGTGCACTGGTGAATGTGTAAATAATCTTTCTGTCCATTTCATCTTGTGTCAAGCAGCTTATAGGTGGAGTCGGCTTCGAATCGCTTCTTGATCTGAATGGAAACCATATGCTTTACGGCTCCCTAACACAGCACACCTTTTCCATCACTTTAGACTTTCAATTTGAAACCACACACTGAGGAACCGCAATGATAGTTAAAAGCGGTCGAAGTTATACGATTCGACATAGAAGCTCTCTACATAAATGTGAGCAATAATTCTGAGATGGATGTGGTACTAGAAGCTCTGAAGCCAACACCATGGCGAGAACAACGTGAACAGGCTTTCAGTCAATCAGTTGATGTCGCTACTGAAAGAGTGTCTCAGTTGTAATGTTTTCAGAATGGTCGGAGGAAGGTATTTCGCGCAAAACAGAGGCT